CGTTAGTTTAAACATAGCGAAGGCCTTCGATCTGGTCTGGCACAAAGCGCTTCTTTCAAAGCTCCCTTCCTATGGGCTTCCGGAGCGAGAAATTGTGTAATTGGATCACCAGTTTCCTAGCTGATCGGAGCATCAAGGTAGACGGTGCATGTTCTGATTACAAGCCTATTAACTCTGGTGTTCCACAAGGTTGCGTGCTATCACCAACGCTTTTTCTCCTGCATATCAATGATATGTTGCAAACTGGTAATATTCATTGCTATGCAGACAACAACACTGATGATGCCTTATATACCGGCCGTGCCAATATTTCTCTGGAAAACGTCGCCGAGTACCGGGACAAACTTGTGTCTGAAATAGAGTCTTTGCTGAACAAAGTCTTGGATTGGGGGCGGCTAAATCTAGTATAGTTCAATCCCCAGAAGACAACAAGTTTGCGCGTTTACCGCTAAAGAGAATCCCTTTGTCGTATCTCCTCAGTTTCAAGGCATTGCCCTTGATGCTTCAGCTAGCATCGGAATCCTCTGTGTCAACGTATCGAATACCATGCAGTTATGTAGTCACGGGAAGGCCACATTGGTCTCAAAAAAGCTTGGCGTGCTCAGCAGAGCGAGACAGTATTTCATGCCGGTACATCGCTTGCAACTTTACAAAGCGCAAATTCGGCCTCACATGGAATACTGTTCTTATTTCTGGGCCGGGGCACCCCAGTGTAAGCTCCTTCCACTTGACCGCATCCAGCGCAGAGCGGTTCGAATCGTCGACGTCTGAGTCCTTTCCGATCGGCTCGATTCACTGTCGCTACGGAGGGATGTTGCATCCCTTTGCATTTTCTATCGCATCTACCACGGCGAGTGTTCTGAGTAATTGTTCGGATTAATTCCAGTCGCCAAATTTCACGAACGCACATCGCGTAAAAATTTACGATAGCATCCTCAACATCTGGATGCTTGGCGGTCCACCACTGTGCGTATACTAGGAGTTTTCTTCCACGTGCAACTACTCTGTGGAATTGTTTACCACCGGAGATTTTTCCGGACCGATACGACTTAGGGACCTTAACGAAAAGACCTTACTCCTTTCTAAAAGGCCGAAAACGCACTTGCAATTTCCCTGGTGTTGCGGTTGTTCATAGGCGGAGGTAGTCACTTACCATCAGGTGAGCCGTATGATTGTTTGCCCCCTCTTCTATAAAAAAAATATTATGTTCCTACGACTAACCCCTCGCGGTCTATCCCGGACGATACTGTTATCTGTACTCTGTTTGGCTAACCTAACTGAATTGGACGGCACTGTCCCTTCGACCAGTGTAACTCCACAATTCATAAGCATGGATCGTACGAATGTGTCGTTTCAAACAGCCGCGCGGCATGGCACGTTACGATATTGTCCTTTCGACCAGCTTCACACAAATCCAACCCTCAACATCAAACACCAATCCTGCCGATCACACAATATTCAGAGCAAAACTGCTACACTCATCAACGTATTAGAACACAAAAAGGCCACTTCATTCTCTCAATTCATAGAATGTTAAAGTTAAACATTTCGAACTTTAAATGTACCTAAATCATATTTCGCATGAACATAAAACTGGGATAACAATTCCAGTAATAACTTCTTTAGGCATGATTGTTTCAGGAACTTACTCTATAAGGAATCATAGGCGAAGACCAGTTTCAGATGCTGTTTCTTTAACTTTGGTTTCTTTACTAAGGGCCACGCCATTTCACTAAACCTAAGCTCGATAAGACATTTAGCTGCACAATCTTTTAAAGCGTTTTTTTATTTATTGTATAAATCAAATAATTTTCTATCTAAGCGTTTACTTTGTGCAATAATTTTTACTACATTACACCATCCCTCTGTATCTGAGTTTGGATCGTCTGGATTAAAATGCAAAAGTTGCATAAATATTTACTCACGGTTAACATTTGCTGCATTTCTAATACTCGTGACAAAACGCCTATATATACACCTATGCAATCACGCTCTTCGGTTAAAGGTACTTATCGAAACATACTTTGTATAATAATAATTACGGAGTAATCACTATTTTTGTCACGCTTCCCGACAAATTTTCCCGAAAAAAATCATGTATAAGTGTGCCAAGAAACAGAGAAATCATTTAAGTTACCTATTTGATTACACACAGTGATCACAATGCCGCAGTGACTAGCAACAAACTGTTATCCATATCTTCATCATCGCATATTGTGATACAATCTACTGTAGAGACGACGACTATCAGGTCGTTCCAAGTCGACTAACAGTAGTCTCTGTGAGACACAGGCCTTTCACCATACCATTAGATGTTCATCGCTCCTGAATGACTTACAATTCACAAGTAAATCGCAGTTACAACTACGCATCAATGCGTACAATGTGACCAAATAGTAATAACAAGTGACTAAGAGTATGACCGCTTGGAAATATGTACCTCCGACATGTTCATTATTAATTTTGCATCAGCTAGATCAATTCAAAGGAAACTTTACTTATTATCACAAAATAAAATATCCAATAGCAATAATCTTTTAATCGTTCGTTACGCAACAAATGTCATACTGTGTACTACATTTTATTCATACGAGCATTCATCTCTATGTTCAGTCATCCCCGTTACATCTCGACGAAGACTAAATTAGACCTCTACAAACACTACACTCGTACCGCACCAACTCTTTGAGCTACGGTTACGGTATGGCTGTTGACACTTGACATAGTCAAAACAAAAAATAAAATGAAGTAAGACACCATTTAAAAGCGAGTGGCATAGTACCACGCCTTCATTACACTATTCGACGATTATATGTGGGTGATAACAGGAACTTGAAACCACTTATGCGAAAGAAGATCATCATCAGATGCACTCATGATGGATGGCGCAAATATGCGTGCGTTACAATAAAATATAATAAACAGATCGTTAGCAATTCATCGCAAATATATGGTACGCTTCCCGACCATGTTTTTCTCAAAAGTCCTATAAACACCAACGCTTGTCACGTCAGCACAGATATACGAGTAACACTCCGCTAGAGTAAAACCTTTACTCTCGATCTGGTCAGTATTTTATAAACGTGCCGATATATATGTGTCACGTTAAGTGTGACTAATTGAAAATTATTAATAATTACATAGCAATCATTATTAATAATTACCAAGATTGAAGGTAAAAGTAATGAATTATTTTCTTATACCGGTTAATATTAATAATTACACCTTACTTTTGGTAAATGTAATACATTTTCAAAAATAAACCACGAGCCCACGACAAGAGTCTGTTTCGAGCTCACCAACATTTTACACCAATATTTAGGTTAGGTTAGGTTTGGTTATGTAGATGCTAATAAAATATGATAAGATAATAAATAATTAGCAGCTTTTGTTAATATGTGGTCTGTTCACATTACTTTCCTTTATTTACCACTAAACAAATACTCACCAAGAATGTCGTTTCATGATTGTTTTATTACTTTTACCGAAGACAGTAGTGAATTATAAGAACCAGTAAAAATGACGAATTTCACAGTTTTCATCACATTTTCCAAACCATAAGGTAACTATAAATAAAAACCGGTTATTATTAATACTAACCACACTAATTGCCTTTACCGTAACATATACATATCCACGGCTCCGTGGCGCAGTGGCTTAGCAATAAGTTACGGCGCTAACAACAACAGAACTGAACAGAACAAGTATTTGTATGGGCTACAAGTAATCACTCCATGAAATGAATCCATGACGTTCTGCAACCAGTCACTTAAAAATGCGGTGTAATATTTAAAAGATATCATAGCGGCGAAGTTAATTTGCTTGAAAAGTTTAAGGTGATTGTTACTCTCTGCACTATTAATTATATTTTATATTAATTAGATTAAAAATAAATAAACCAAACCACAGATATTCATGAAAATAGAAAAATTTAAATAAGAGTTAAAAATGTGCAAAAAATTAAAGAGCAAGCCACTGAGGCACTGTTTTGTGTATTAATATATAATATAATACTGTAGAAACTGATAAACTTTTATTTAAAACTAACTTCTCGATTAAATGACTTTGTGTAACAAAAAACTTCACCTCAGTGTCAACTAGCGACATCTGGTGAGCGGACGATTATTATTCTTCATTGTGCCAATCCTTGCAATTCCTTGTGCAATTTATGTATGTAAACTCCACGATACAGGAGCAAGTCCTAATGTGGTTGTAACGTATTAAAAAGGAAAAACGAATAAATTTATGACTATTTACGTAAACATATGTAAATAATATCATATGTGAACATCGACTATGATTTCTAGGACATGCAGATTGCAAAAAGATTCGTAAGAGAGGTTAATGCACTATCTATTATAAGTATTAGTATTAGTAGCCTTTATTTTACACATAAATACATTTTTACTTTAAATTTGTAAGTTGTTTCATTATATTTTTAATTATTTATATGTATGTAAACACATCGCGCTTATGCGCGAAAGGCCTCCCTCAACTTATCCCAATCTTTTCTACTCTGGGCTGTTCTGTGCCAGTATTTGTCAAAATTCGAGAGTTCGTTCCGCCATCTCCTTTTTGGTCTCCCTTCTTTTGTCCATCGGGATCCACTCTGTAATTGTTTTAGTCCATCTATCATTTGGTAGTCTGCAGAGATATCCAGCCCATGCCCATTTGCTTTTCTTAATCTTTGTTATAACATCTTTCACCACCGTCCTGTCCCGGATGTCTGTAATCTTGATTCTGTCTTTTTGGGAAATCTTAAGCATTGATCTTTCCATTGCTCTTTGAGTTACTTTTAGTTTATTTAATTTAGCTTTAGTAAGACTCCATGATTCTGATCCATAGGTTAAGGTAGGTAGGATGGTGGTGTTAAATGTCTTACTTTTAAGTTTTATGCATAGGTCACTTTTCATAATAAATTTTAGGCTCCAAACTTTTTTCCATGACTTGTTTATTCTTTGTTCTATCACCATATCTTGGTTGTTTTTAAATGACATGACTTATCCGAGACATGTAAAGTCTTCTACATAATCCAGTAGGGTTCCTCCAAGTCTAACACGTTTGTGCTCCCCATTAGTCATGATCTTGCATTTTTGCCTATTCATTTCCAAGCCTGTTTCTCTACACTTATTTTCAAATTCCCTGAGCATATGTTCTAAGACCTCCGTGGTCTCAGCAACGATAATGACATCATCTGCAAACCTCAGATTGTTTAGGTATCTTCCATTTATTCTTAATCCTTTATTTGACCAAGACATATTTATGAAATTTTTCTCCAGAACTGCATTGAAGAGAATTCGTGAAATCGGGTCATCCTGTTTGACACCCTTTTGCAATGGAAATGTTTCCCCCATTTTGCCTGTTTTTATTCTTGCCCTTTTGTGAGAATTTTTTATTATATATAATAAACACGCTGTAAATATGGCAGACTGAATCAAACACTTTTTTGGAATTTTTGAAAATACAAATTTGGGGTAGTCTGCCCCTATGTAAACCCCTTCCGAAGTGTCTGCCATTTTTTTTCTTAATTGTTTATAAACTTAGCTGGCGGATAGTCATTATTATTATTTGAATCAAACACTTTTCTGGGCAAATTTTTTTGCGTCTAACCTATATGCGCAGTACCAGGTGTACGCAGGTAGGCATGGCAGACATTCATATACCTGCTTATTGAGTCGACTGATACCTTTAAACAAAGTTTCATGATGCATGAAACACTTCATGAAAAATGCGTCATGAGCTCTCAGACCATCCTGGTCTTTTGTGAGAAAATATCTTTTTTTATTTGCGGTTGTACTTTCTTTGTTTCTTTCAGAGCGGTGTTTATTCCTATCAATGAAATTGTATTCATTTTGTATATTTTCTGAATTTTTAAATTCAAAGTGTTTAGAAAGTTTTCTTGTTATTTCCTCTATTTCTAAAACAGAGTCTTTTTTTTATTGTACGTCTTTTGTTTATATTTCTGTATTTCTTACAGTTATATATTGTCCTACATGATATTCTTCACCAGATTTTCGTTGACCAATGTGGCTGTTAAAATCACCCATTATAAATTTGTATTATGCTTTGCTTTGCCAATATGCTATTTCAACATCAGTCATAAAGGTTTCCACCTCTGCTTCGGAGCGTCGGAGGTTGGCGCGTACACTTGAATAAATGTATATATTATTTTATTTATTGTTAGTTCCAAGCTTATTACTCTGACTGAAGTGTGGGATATACTTGTAACATAATTTTTTATTTCTTTATTTATTAAAAATCCAACTCCATACAGTCCCTTTTTCACTCCATAACAATACAACAGATTTCAGATTTAAGTTCAATCAGCGTTTCTCCCTCTCGTCTCATCTCGCTCTTACCTATTAAGTGCAATTGAAAAGTTTTTAAACACTCTTCCAGTTTTTGGATTTTATAGTTTTCTATAAGAGTGAGGACATTGAATGTCCATACATGTAAATTTTCTAAAAATTTGTTATTTGTTAGGGGGTTTTGGTCTTTATCAGTCCACGGACTGACCAGGATACCTGCGGACTGTTTTGTGGTTGAGTTTTGTGTTGGTTTTGGATTTAGTTTATTGAGTTTTTGAGGTTTCTGGTACCGTTGTCGGTTGCTTGTTATTTAGGGAAGTCCCTGGTATTGAAGATGTTATTGATTTAGACATAAAGTTCAACATATTATTGGTCTTTCATATTTCTTTTGTATTTGCTATAAGCAAAATTTCAGTAGTGCTTTTTAAAATGTTATTACATTATATGTGTTGATTCACGATCAGAGTAATTTGCCTCGACGTTGAAGCTTGTTTCCGTGCGGCAAGGCCACGCAGGCGCAGGACGACAGGAAGTTGTACACCGTCGCATTCGGGTTGCCACTCCATCCACTTGAGGGCGTTATCGAAGCACATAAACGCCTCGATGTGAGATGGTACACTTTGGTCTTGCGCCTCTTCCCCTTCGGTCTCATTGTCGTCCTCTTCGTTATCCTGTTCGTCCATGGCACTCGCTGCGATTTCATCCTCTTTCTGTAAACAAGATCAGGGGCGTAGTTTTCAGTTTCTTTTTTAAAAGTGTCCACAAATTTATTAGCAGCTTCACTATCAGCAGAAAGTTTTTCATCAGCAATATCCATTTCCCGAATGCCGTGCTTATTCTTGAAATTGCGGTGGATGAATCCGCAATTTCAAGAATAGGAATAGTGCTTGCCTTAAAACCAGCTACACCCATTTTTTCATTGAACATTCGCGCCTTTTCACATAAAATCGATCCTGAAATCGGTTGTCGAATACATCGTTGCTGCAGAAACCACGTAAAAACAGCATTCTCAAGTTGTTCATCCTTTGCCTTTTTCATTACTTTTCGCGACGAACATCCATCACCAGTTTCCAACGTAGTCACAAAACTTAATTTTTTTTACTGGGTTTTTGTGAAACGCTCCCGAAAACGAAAACAGATGATAGTAGGTACTACACTTTAGCACATGGGTCACAAATAAATTGGATCCCGAGGAAAAAATCATCGTTTCACAACGTTTTATTAACTTTATTCATGCTTCATCATGTTAGTAAAGCTAAATGAAACGATAATTTAAAAAAAAAGCATGAAAATACTTAAACAAAAAATCAGCTGTGAAACTTAAAAATAACATCAGCTGACAATAGGGTCAATATCTTCGCGGGCGCCGAACGGTTATAGGTCCCATCACGTAAAAACGTTGGCCTTGAACCTGGGCACTGAGCGATTTATCGATTGAATTGGTGTTACGAAGTTTCATTTTTCATTCCTTTTTTGTTATACCAAATCAAAGATAACGATGAAATAGTGTTTATAATTGTGTGAGTACTGAGTAGCCAATTAGATACGTATATTAATTTCAATATTTTTTTTGTAGTAAAGAACTGCTTGTTGCGTCAGGGTACAATTGATTGTGTAATTGTATTAAAAATTACAACCATAACTTTTAAATTCCATATGAAGACTAGTCGTAGGGATAAAACTTAATAAACGTTGAGGATGTCTTAACATACATAACGCTTTAACGGTGTGTGGAAGGTTCCAGTGCTTCAAGGACTTTACATTGTGCGCATTTGTTTTAGCGTGTTTCATTAATAATTTTAGTTTTTGAGACTGTTCCGGGTTGACTATCAAAAGAGACAGTTCAATTGTTTTGTTTATTAAATTATTGTCGTTATTACTTGTTATTTAATACTTAATGATATTAGTCTTGTTGTTACATTTTAAGTTTCTTGTTTTGTTTTTATAATGCCTAACGCGTACGTATATAGTGCTCGTGAATACGGCAACATGTTAATGTGCCTTGGAGAAGCTCGCGGGAATGCTTCGCATGCATTGTGAATTTACCGAGAGAAATTCCCGACCGCTCGACATCTAGCTGACTCTCGTTTGATAACAGCAGCATTTCAGCGCGTGTTGGAAAATCGGCCCATTGCTCTGGTAGCGGCAGAAGGTGGAAGTCAAGTGGCTGTTTACTCAGAGGAGCGCATTTTAGATGTCGTTCGCTGGAATCCGAACCTAGGTACACGAAGTATCGCTAAATTGTTAAGGCGTCGGGATGGAACAAGTGTGTCATACTGTACAGTTCACAAACTGTTAAAGTGTAACCGAATGCACCCATACAAAGTGTACAAAGTGCAAGCTTTAGTTCCCGACGATCACGACCGCCGGCGAGTTTTCTGCCGTTGGTTATTAGACCAGCAACAACGTGTGCCTGGTTTCATTGAGTACGTCACCACGGAGGATTTAGAGCGATAAGCTGTTTCATACCTAATTTCTATAATATTCAGTACTAATTTTTTAAGTAACTTAGTACTGAACTGACCTGAATAGGAATAACTGAATACATCGAATAATAAACATATCTACACGATGAATAAAAAGGCATGACTCTAACCTTAGTTACATTTCATTTTAGTATTTTTTTCATTAGCGGGGAATCGAACTAGTTATTTGGGTTATTTAACCTGTGAATCCGAATTAAAGTGGCTACGTGGAGACAAGCACAGTGGCAAAATAGTAGGTTAAGTAGATAAGTTAGGTATTTAGACAAGTGTTGTAAATGTTATTAGGTATTGTGATATGGCCCTCTAGGCTAGTGCGCGCGCGAATACGGCGTTCGCGCGTACATTGACCCCTAGTCAGCTGATTGTAATTCAGTAATTCCACTGCTGGTTTTATGTTTAAGTATTTTCATGATTTCTTTTATGAAATTATCGTCTCATTTAGCTGTACTAACATGATAGAGAATGAATAAAGCCAATAAAACGTTGTGAAAAGATGATTTTTTTTCATCAGGATCGATTTTATATTCCACCCATCATCAAAGGTATAGTTGGTTCTGCCGTCTGTCTTCGTTTTCGGGAGCTTTTCAAAAATACCCCGATACAGGAGAAAAGAAAAACTATATACTATAGAAAAATAATATAGTACGAAAAATACTATATTTTATCTCTAACTACACTGTCGCGCTTTTTTATGTTAACTGTGGCTGGAAGTCTGAAACCAGTAAGTTTTACGAAAATAATTTTTTCCAACATGAATGTAGAGAAAGAAGAAAAAAATAGAGCGTGTAGGTATTAGTTTCATTAAAAATGGATTGTTAATTTATTTTAAAAATAATCTGAATTGCTGAGATTCCTATAATTATATGTAATTTTAAAGCTAATAGACCATTGATAGCCAAAGCGAAGAGCAATAATAACATATATGTAAAAATACGAAAAGATTAAAAATTTAACTTTTTTTTTTCCTGTTTATCCCGAAAGTGGTATATTTTTGGGAAAGTAATATATTTGGTATAATGTAATATATTTGTTCAAAAAAAGGTGGCAAGTGAACCTACCAGCGACGTGAAGCAGCGCCCAAAGTGCGGAACGCTCGGTACTACGATCGCCAATCCGAATGCCAAGCGTGTAACGCAAATCCTCTTTAACGGGAGAGGCCCACGTCCAGCAGTGGACTTTTACGAGCTGATGATAAATAAGAAGAAGGCTATCGACTAATCACACCTATCAAACACGATGAGTACACATTCTTAGAAAGGTCTAAAATTCAGCTCGTCAGCAGCAGACTTAAAACTCTGATGATGGTGTAGATACTGATAAAGTCTTGGTGTTTGGTTGTCATCATCTATCCGTCCATTGCAGCCTACCAAAAATACACTGCTGAGGGAAGGTCTCCCCGATAAATTGTCTCACATCCACACAATATAATATCATCCCATGAGTGTTGTAAAAGGCGACAGATTTTCCTGATAACATAAGTAATAAGAAAATGCGGTTAGCGTAGCATCTATGGCAGATATCTCCTATATTTTCTATTTTAATATTTCATATTTTCTTTTT